AAAAATTAAAAAACCTAAAGTATGAAAATCAAAAGGAAGAATGAAAATAAAAAAGTTAAATAAATGGTAAAGAATGAAAATAAAAAAAAAAATGAAAGAACGAAAACAAAAAGGAAAGAAATCCAATGAATGTAAAGAAAAAGAACGTGAAAAAAAAAATGTACGTGAAAGAGAATGATTGAAATGGTACAGAAGAGTAGGAACCGGAAATACTAAAGCAAAATGAAGTGAAAAGAAGAAAAAGAAAAGAAGTAGATACCGAAATAAAGAAAGACAAATATTAAAAACAGACCGGCGCTCCTGACACTAAAAACAAACAAAAAAAAAAAAAAAAAAAAAAAAAAAAACACACACACACATACAAAACGGAAACAAAGGAGAAATTAACGAGACTAAAACAATAGAACAAAACCCAGGAAGAAACTCTTGAAAAACTTGTCGCGAGTGGGGAAAAAAGTTCACCCTGAAGACGCATAAATGTCCTACGTTGCAAGCGAGTCGGTGATTTAGTCGCAACCAGATGCCTTAAAAGGCAGTCATTATGAAAAGATGGCCGCCCAGTAGTGCGAAGACAAACACACAAACGTCATTACTAAAGACGAGCGACACATAGCAGTAAGTAACGGGAGCTATAAAAGTCCAGAACAGGACGGAAGCCTTTAAAAATCTACCTTCAACCGCTTCCAATCACCTTCGCAACACATGTGCACGCAAGTACAAACAGATAGAGTTATCCAACTTTCTCCGTCTGGCACAAGGCCATAGATTTGATAAAATAGTGAGGTTAAAATAACTAAACAAATTAATCTGCGAATGGCCTTTTATTTAAGTTTAATAATACGGGGTCTGCGTAATGGTTATCTGCACCGAAAATAAAATCAGTAACATCTACATTGAGGCGATTCTTAGACAAGAATTCCTATCAGGATCCATTATTGGCGGGCACAATCTTAACATCATAAGATATGCAGATGACACAGTATTGATAGTAGATACTGAAAGCAAATTACAAGGACTACAGAAGGTAGTGAATGAAAACGAGAAGAAAGAATTAAGTATTTATTCGAAGAAAAGAGAATACATGCTTGTAAGCAAAAGAAACATCCCAACATGTAAATTACAAATTGGTGATAACCAAAATCAAACAAGTACAACAATTTAAATATCTGGGAAGTGTTTTAACAAAGGACGGAAAGTGTGACACTGAGATACGAAGGGGCATTCGGATAGCGAAAGATGTCTTCTAAAAGCTAAGAAGAGTATTAAGAGACAGAAAAACTTCGTTAGGAAAAAAGAAAAGAGTACTGAACTGTTATGTGATATCTGTCCTCCTGCCTGTGAATGAAATATGAAAAATATGAAAGAAGCTCGAATCTTAACAATCCTATCTTTTTAGAATTCTTTTCATCCTGGGGAATATTAAAATAGGTAATTTTCAAGGTAATCGTTTGTGGCCCAGATCAAGATGTTGCCAGCAATAAACACATACGACTAAAGGAACATCTCAACATGTAAATTACAAATCAGAGATACCAAAATCAAACAAGTCCAACAATTTAACTATCAGGGAAGTGTTTTAACAGAGGACGGAAAGATGCCTTCCAAGAGCTCAGTAAAGTATTAAGAAACAGGAAAATTTCGTTAGGGAAATAGAAAAGATGGTTGAAATATTAAGTAATGTGCGTCCTCCTATATGACAGAAAATGCTAGGCAATCTCCTCCCAGGTGAAGAAGAGACTTGAAGCAACAGAAATATGGCTCTAGAGAAGGATGTTGAGAATACCTCAGACCGAAAATATGAGAAACGACGATGCTTTAGTGAAAATGTAAACAGAGATGAAACACTATACGTCAGAGAAAGACAATTGAAATTTTTAAGGCACCTAATGAGGAAAGAAGACTTGGAAAACTTGATACTCCCGGGACATATAAAAGGCAAGAGGGTCCGAAGAAAACAACGCATAACCGAGTTAATGAGTTTGTGAAAAATGTATGGCGGAACAGACTTTAGGAGAGATATCAAAGAGACAACATTTACTGCAAAGGACAGAATATCGTGGCGAGCTGTGACACACCAACATCTTGAAGGGCCACGGCACATAAATAAAGAAAGGCAGGTTTAGATTTTGACTTTGGCTGTTGCGTTCCAGCTGTGGCCATTTGGAAACTGCATGATTCCGTTTATTCTTCGTCTAAGTATGAGTTAAATAGCAGGGTATACTCTGTTTTATAGCCTTATATAGAAGTCAGTAGGGCAGGTTGATTTTTAACTTTCTATAGAACATCCACATTGCACTCGACGTGAAAGCCGGGGTTTGATGTGATAAGTAGTGATACTAACAATTAGATTTATATCTTTTAGCAATTTTGGGGCATTTAATTTTGAAGATCTGGAAAATGCACAGAAACAACTAATTTCCAAAGGTTTTTGCTTTGAAACTGACTTCAAAAATTTACTATTTCAAGAATGTATCCAAATAAAATATTAGATAAATTGGAGGGAAAATAGATTCAAACCAGAATTCTAATTATGAATCACCCCAAGCAAAATATGCAGTTTTTTGTTTACTGCAAGTAAAAACTGTGTAAAAAATTTAAAAGATTACAAAAAAGGCTACTCAATGAATAAGATTTGTTAGATTATTTGATAGATCATAATTAATAAAAGCAAAAAAATAGACAAAAGTTTATATAACACCATAATATTGGGCACACATTATAAGACAAGATGTTTTAAAAATTTAATATTTTTAATCGATAAAGCCGATCAAAAATCGTTAAAACGATTTCGTTCAAACTCGGTATGTAGGTAACATATTGCACCTCATCGAACTGTGTTTATAACTAAATTGTTCAGTATAATTTCCCTTTGATGTAAATGAAGGACTTATTTGATGGCACAGTTATCTATTTATATATAAAACAGAGGCTGTCTGTGTGTTTGTCTCTCTCTGTCTGTGTGATACCTTTTCACTCGAGATCCATCCAACCAATTTTGACCAAACTTGGCACATACATTGTACAATGTAAGAGATACGGTCTTAGCGTAAAATATCGTTAATATTAAAAAAAAATCAATAATCGATAAAGCCGATCAAAAATCGTTAAATTCAATTTTTTTTCCCTCCGATTTCGGTATGTAGGTAACTTATATCATGACAAGCTCAACGATACCTCATTTTTTTATTTCGACGCCACTGTGTTTATCGAAAAACCGCCAAAACACAACACAAATATTAAGCTAAAAACTCCCTCAATATTCAATCAATCTAATACAAACTCCACTCAATCTTAGCCAATAATAAGTAGATTGTTTAACAGTCATTTAACTTGATAATTGAGTCCACCCTTATAGTGAAAACCCGCGGAAATAGCGATTTTTACTGGTTTCTTTCTTATTTTTTCGTTGAACTTTCAACCAATTTTCTTCAAACTTAACAATTGCTTTATGAATGTATCCTCTTTTACATCCCTGGTAGCACACTAACAAATTGAATTCCAAAACCTCCAAAACAATTGTGGTCTAAAGTGCGTCTTCATGTTGCCTGTTTTACGCATTCATGTCTTCGGCTAACTTTGATTGAATAAATACAGACTACTTCTGTTATATCAGTAACTGTATTAATTCAAAATATTTTTTTAATGAAATTACTTTAAAGTAATTGAAGAAGATAGACTCTGTTACATCTAAACATGATGTTGTTTTTGCTCCATTCTAATTGAACGCTTTTTCTGATCGACCTCTTGGGTATGGCTGCTAGTTTAATAATAATGTGCTTGTGTCTTCCATCATGTCCATATACAGTTTGTAAAGCTTTAGGAAATTAGAGGTTTTACAAGGCTGCTGCTATAAGACTTTCACTGGTCACCGGAATGAAATTCGTACGCACCGTAATTAAAAAAAAACGGTAACGATTTGGAAAAATATCTTCTGTCTTTGTTTATCGTGTCAGGCGCTAATTTTCAAATTGAGTGCAATACCATGTTTCCAAAATCGACCTGCCCTCGCAGCCAGCATAGAAGATGGAATTCATTGAATTCAGCTTTGAATAAAATGAGGCAGTATGGACTCATTATCCATTTGCGTAACGAACATTTGAAAAGAATAATTCTAAATTCCTACCCACCATCACCACTACCAACATCATCACCTGTTAGCATATCACAGGCCAGTGAGACAGTCGAGGAATAAATAAAAGAAGGATAAATATATGTGTATTCCTTGAAAATCTGTTTCAAACGCACGCGCACGTACACAAACAAAATATTGTCAGATTATGGCAAATACATGCATGCCACACGCACATTATTGCTGAATAATTGTGTCGTCAAATGAAACCCTTATTAGCTTCAAAGGGAAATTATCGTGAACAATTTAGCTATATTATGATGTAATATATTATACAGTGCAGTAATTTTAATTTGGTTTATTCATTTATTTTGTTTTACGGCATATCAACAACATCAATGGGTTATTTAATTCTAACAAGATTTTTAGGATGGGTTCGTATGAATAGAATATGTATTCTTTGTAAGAAATCAGTTTGTAGATCATGTTTCATTGACGTATTTTTGTAAAGACAGTTTTTGTCGAGAGCTTGGTTTCATTGATGTATTCTTTTCAGATTGGTTTAGTTTATATTGTTTTACGGCATATCAACCTCAATGGGTTATTTAATGCTGACAAGATTTTTAGGATAGGTTTTGAATAGAATATGTATAAGAAATCGTTTATGAATAGAATTTTTGTAAAGATGTTTTTTTTGAGTTTGATTTCATTGATATATTCTTTTCAGATTGGTTTAGTTTATTTTGTTTTACGGCATATCAACCTCAATGGGTTATTTAATGCCGACAACATTTTTAGGATAGATTCGTATGAATAGAATATGTATTTTTTGGTTTGGTTTATTTTGTTTTACGGCATATCAACCTCAATGGGTTATTTAATGCCGACAACATTTTTAGGATAGATTCGTATGAATAGAATATGTATTTTTAGGTTTGGAAAACTTTGTTTTACGGCATATCAATTTCAATGACGTTATTTAATGTCGACAACTTTTTTAGGATCAATTGTATTTCTGGTAATATACTTTTGGTTTAAATTGGTTTGGTTTATTTTTTTTTATGTTTTCAACCTCAATGGGTTATTTAATGGACAACATTTTAGGATAAACAATGAATAAACTGTATTCTTTGGTTTAGATTTGTTTGGTTTATTTTGTTTTTACGGCATATCAACTCAATGGGTTATTTAATGGGACAACATTTAAAGGATAGATTCGTATGAATAGAATATGTATTTTTTTGGTTTGGTTTATTTTGTTTTACGGCATATCAACCTCAATTGGTTATTTAATGCCGACAACATTTTTAGGATAGATTCGTATGAATAGAATATGTATTTTTAGGTTTGGTTTACTTTGTTTTACGGCATATCAACCTCAATACGTTATTTAATGCCGACAACAT